CCAAGCTGTAAATTATAAATATATTTTCATAATTGATAAACAATGACTTTTAACAAAACACTGTTAGTTATAATCTACTATTTTAATATATGTTTGATATTTGTAATCAAATAACAGTGTAGGTGATGTGGTTCGGTCAGCAGTGCCATCCTCACCTTCCAGTAAAAAGAACTAATCTCCTCTGGAGCAATGATCTTAGATAAACCGAAAAGGTATTTCCCACATGTATTGTGACTTATAATCCTTCTGAATCAAATGCCCCGCAGTCTCAAAATGTTGTATTTACCCTGTCTGACACCTCTTTGAAAAGGTGTAATGTGTAAAAATAACTCATAATTTCCCTGAGAGTTGATCCTTCCTCTGAAAAATACTCAGCAGCTGTTCAGCCTAAAGTGGGTTCAAGGTCAGAATTTATTTTCATCCCTTTTGAAGAGGATCTGATTGAGTAATTAGTAACTCCTTCCCTCAGTCATTCTGTTTAATTTATATATTTTTTAAATGGCAGCAATATTTGCTAATTATTGAAATATAACTAGGAATTAATATTAGACTTAGAATTTTGTATACAAGTAGTGTATACAAAATGAATAATATCCTCATTATCCCACAGATTATTTTATATTTTATTTAGTAACTCTTCTTAAAACTACAGTTTTGCTATCCCAGCATGGCTTATGACTGATATACTACACTGATGTGATCTACTTTAAAGTTTACTGAAATTATGCTGTTTTAACTCGAATTACTTTAATAGATTGACTTTGTTTGGTTGTTTCAGGATCTCAAGGTAATCCTAGTTTGGAACCTCTTTACATAAATAGCATATCTCAACTAATGTTACATGATTTTTGGTTGGTTGTTTTTATGTGGAACAGTAATAAATGTTAAAAATATGTAGTTATTCTTGCATCCCAGCCTCAGCTCAGTAACCTTCATTTTATAAGCACCTGTGAGAATGAGCCTATGAAGACATCTGTATGTTTTTCATTCTCACTCTGCTGCCAGCCATCAGCAGCAGCGGTTCCTGCAGCCTATGAGGGTGGCTTTTCTAACTCTAAATAATTCAGTGCACTATACTAGTGAACATCAACACTCACCCTGTTCTTGTGTCATTTATGTTCAATGTTCAAGGTGCTGTCATTTTGTGTAAAACGAAGAAGGAAAAGAGAGGAACTCATGAGAGGTCCAGCAGATTTGGCTATTCAGTTCAATTTAAACATATATGAATAGCTAGTAGAAATAAATGATCTTTAAAAGTAATAATCCAATTTTTGTTTGAAATAAAGACAGGAGAACAAACCTTCTCTTTTCCCCACTAAGATTCTTGCAGCGCACTGCAAGTCCCTGACATCTGCAGAACTTCCAGCTGGTTTTATTTTTATCATTATTTCTGACACAGACGACAGACATTGTTATCTAAATGTTTTGAATTAGATTTCTTCTCTGAAAAAGTAAACCAAGGCTCTGTTGGAATAGAAAAAAAAATCTATATTTTCCCCAACCACAGTCTGAGGGTAGACAAAACCCTCAGAACAAAACAAAAAAAAAATTACCCTGCTGAGTTTCTGTGTGAGACCTAATCCAGCGATGAGGGGATGGTGGAGAGCCCCAGAGAGAAACAGCAATATACCAAGCAGCTAACAGGCAGACTTAAAAGTGATATCTACAAGTTTAACTCCTTCCGGCCAGTAAGTGGTGCACCAGCGCTCCTCAACTCTCGTTTTGTACCTTTTGCCTGGTCCGCTAATGGTTATATTAGCCATATCAAATAAGGTTGCTAATTGTCCATTAAAAGAAGGTATCTGTCCATGTTTAAGAAATAAAATAGGTGTCTAATTCATTTCAGGTTTGATTTAAATGTTTAAAAAATCAATTAACACATAAAGGCAAAATAAATTCATATAGTAGGTAGAGTGGAAGACAATACCTGTGCAATAATAATAATAATTGAACTTTCTTGATCTCCCACTGGAAAAAATTTACCTCTGCTTTTAACCCATCCTCTTGGGGAGCAGTGGGCTGCCCTTGTGTGGTGCCCGGGGAGCGGTGTGGGGTTAAGGTTCTTGCTCAGAAACTCAGAGATCAGGCTGTAAGGATCGAACTGGGTACTTGCATCCTTAGAGTGCACTGCTCTAACCACGAGGCCCCTCATTAAATAATGTCCCTTATTTAATGTTTACTGAGTTGGCAGCCCTGAAACCAAACATGTCATTTACTAGTTAAGAAAAAAAGTGGCATTATGCTTTGCTTTCTTACATTGGCATTGTTCTAAAGCTTGAAAAATCTAAACCCTCGCTTTGTTTCTTTTTTTGTTATTTCGTTGGCTTGAGCTCCATCTCACATGACTTCAAGCTACTATTACTGTTAGTGAGGAATCCTTTCCCGTCAAAGTTTCCATGGTACCCAGAAATAAATCCTTATTTGTTTTTAACCCTTCAAGAATAGGGAATTAGCAAAATGAAAATTATTGGCCGAAAACTAAAGACAAAGAATTAGGAAGCTAAGGCCAAAAACCAAAACACTAAAAGAATCAAGAAATAATCAATTAGCCCTAGTATGAGTAATACATTTATTTTTCACCATAGGTCTGTGGAGAAGCTGTTTCTGGAACTGTTTTGATGAAAAAGTTGCAGCTATGACATTAAGCATGTTTTCCTTAATCATACTAACTAAGCTTAAATCAACGTGGTTAAAATTGGGTTGCTTTTGCGTTTATAAAACATAATCTAATTTCTGCAGCAGTATGATTTCAGATTTGGCCTTCAAGTAAGACTCAAAATGAAACAAGTCGACTTTTCTTGACTTTGCTCATAAACCAGCTCCCAACAATAGAGATTTATTTTAATTTCCTTATTTAAAGTGCAGATACCTGTTTCATAAGGTTGTGAAATAATATAAATTCATGCTGACCTAGAGCACATCATTATCTATAAATAGGAATAAATGAAATAGTATTAGAAAGCATTTGAAATAATTATTATGAAATATACAGTTACTTGCAAAGATATTGATATACTTTTGGTGTTTCAACAATTTGTCACATTACAACCACAAACATAAACATATTCTATTGAAATCTTAAGGTAAAGACTAACACAAAAGCATGATATAAAACAACTTCTACAAATAAAAACTGAAAAGTGTGGTAGGAAAAACTGGTGAACCCACTTTTCCCTGGGTGCAAACAATTGCCTTCCTAAGTTGCCTGATGATCGCTGGTGACTAAACAGAGACCACCTGTATGTAATCTAATCCTCAGCACAAATACACCTGCTCAGAGGTTGGTTACGAGAAGATATGGGAGTAAAGAGCATCACGAAAGCCAAAGAACACACCGGAATGGTTAGGAATAAAGTTGTGAAAAAATGTTAAGCAATCCTAGGCTACGAACGAACAAGAACGAACAAGAAGAGTACTGATGAGAAATGCAGATAAGAGGCCCATGGTGAATCTGGTCGAAGATTCACAGCTCAGATGGGGAAACCTACCCACAGGTCAACTACTAGTTGTGCACTGCACAAATGGGGTCTTTATGGAAGAGTAGCAAGAAAAAGGCATTGCTAAAAGAAAACCATATGAAGTCACATTTGCAGTTTGCTAGAAGCCATATTGGGGACATAAACATGTGAAAGAAGGTGCTGGGGTCTGACAAAACAAAACACCAGACTGACTGAGCTAAATACAGGCCATTATTTAGACGAACATCTGTTGTAGTCTGCAAAATGCACAAGACTGGGGCAGAGGATCATGTTCCAGGTGGACAAAGACCTTAAAAAAAAACATGGCTACAGTTTAAAACAAAAAATATTCTTGTTAGAATAACCCAGTCAAAGTTGAGAAATAAACCCCAAACAATAATCTGTCCGGGCGATCTAAAAACTGCCATTCACAAAGGCTCCTCATCTAAACTAAATGAGTCTTAGCTGTTTTGCTAAAGAATATTGTCACTAATTTCAGTCACTAGATGAGTGGGTGGTAGAGAGGTATAATTGCAGCTGTAAATGCAGTAAAAAGTGGCTCGGGAAAGTATGACTCAAAGTAGGATTCAGACATGTTTAGTTATTTAGCCTCATCCAAAATTTCATTTTAATGAGTTTCTGATTTGTTACTTGCAGCTGTTTCATGCTAGTTTTGGATCAGATATTTTAGACTGAGGGTTGTTAGTGACAGGTTGGTGCTGTTTGGAAAGCTAAGTAATGGAAGACAAACCTAATCTTGAATTGGGTTATTCTGCTGATTTGTCCATCTGGCTGATAATCAGTAATAAGGGGAAAACATGTTTGCAAGGACACAGGAAATTCTTAGAAACTAGAAGCACAAGCTATGTTAAGAAATGTCCCAGACTTAACCCAACGGGGGAAAAAGAACAGCTGCATCGTGGATAAATAGAAAACAAACCTCAAGGAAATAACTGGTTTCAAAATTCAACGGGATGTATGATCTATAGATAAAATGTAGAACTAAAGACTAGATCAGAAAATACTAAAAAAAAAAAAAACTAATACTGAAAATACACATCTTCTTTAAAGTGTAACTTCTTGGTACGTTGGGAATATATGTAGAGCAGTACCTTTTTTTTTTTTTGCTTGGATGCACATCTGCAGTCACAGGCAGAGATAGAAAATACTCAGTTGAATCTATCCCCCTGTGATTGGTCAGACTTCTCATTATTTGATGTGACACTGAGCCTCCTCCTCTACAGTCACCTGAGCAACACACATCCAAACAGTTTGCTATCCTGCTCCTCTGTTACCTACAGATTATAACAGGGCTTATTTGATATATTTTCCCTCTGCTTTCATTGAGCTAACTCATCAATTTCACCAGTGACCTGTTATGTTTTTAGCTACTGGATTTTCTAAATAGATAAAGGCCATTGGCCATGTTAAGAGTCAGGCGAGTGCTTTTTTGTTGTTTCCAAGAGTGTGTAGCCAAACCTTATTTTTTTTGTCCTAAACATAGGCCTGCCATTATATCATGAACCTTAATATGAATCTCACCTTTTCCCTCTGAGTTATGGCTTGCTTAAAATACTTCCTCAAGGAAATTGATTTAAACCAGTCTTCGACCTCATCTGTCAGTCTAGGAATAGCTGTCATCGGGCGAATCACCCCGGGTTTTGTCTAGAGTAAAAAAAAAACAACATTAGCTTGTTTCCACAGGCAGCTTTAAAATACACACCTCAAAAGGTTTGGGGGGGTTGTTTGCTTTTTCATAAAAGCTGTAGCAGCAGCTTTATTTAGGTAAAAGATTTTGTACCTTTTCAATATCTGTCAGTTTTCTCTCCTTATTGGCAGATGGGTGCAAGCTGCACAAAGATGCCTAAACAAAGAGAAAGCATTCAATGCCTGCTGGAAATATTGACAAAAGTCTGCATGGAAAACTGCATTCAAGTGTATAAATGACATCTCTTTATCGATTATCTTTTTTTTTCTTGCCGTCTACATTTACAGAATGAAAATAATGCTCTATGGATCAGATTAGATAAACAAGAAGAGCACTGAGTCGCTATGTATATAACAGTAATTTATTTAAAAAATGCAAAAGCAATTTTTTTTTTGAATACGTTGTTTAGTTAGAGCTACTGTACCTTTAACCATTCGTTCTCTTGTTTGTATAGACACTTTTAAGAAACAACCCACTCTTGTTTGTATAGACACTTTTAAGAAACAACCCACTTTTTCAAACTTGTTTTTTAGTTTAATACTGTGTTTACTGTTTTTGTATGTTGTTTAATTTATAGAAACTTCTTATAAATTTGTGCAGCACTTTGTGACCCTGGTCTGTGAAAAGTGCTATAGAAATAAAGTTTACTTACTTACTCACTTACTTAGTTTGGAATTTCTCCTTTATGCCACTCCTAGTGAAATGTAGTTAATGTTCCTATTGTATATTGAATTTAAGAAAGATTCTTTTTTGAATGTGAATTAAAATATGTTTCGTTAAATATCTGTAAATTTCCAAGAGGGATATTAATTTACTAGCTACATTTGACTTTAAAAGATAGAGATTGAAGTATAATGGAAGCTTCCTCTTAAAATATTTAATTTGAAACAAATATCGGAACATAAATCCCTTTATAATCACTGAAGTTAAATCTAAATAACAGGATTTGAAAGTAGGGGTTGCCTTTTCTACTGGTTTCTTTATGCACATGCTGCCAAAATAAATTTGCTCTCTTTGATTTTCTCACCAAATATGGAAATCTCTAAAGGAGCATATTTACCTGCTCTTTTTAATTTTATGCATCAAGCTTAGAAATTGGGGTTCTAACTGCACTTAAATTTAAAAAAAATTCTTTCAACATGCAGGCAGCATCCACCTTTCATGTTTTTATCAATATGCTTCCCAGTGGAAAAATATCCCTTAGGTGATAAAATGCTGACTTGACAGTCATAAATTCCTTAAACACTTTGGTGAAAATTCTAATGATGAAATATTGAAGCAGCAACTTTTAGCAGCTTTAACAGAAGCTCTGTTGGGATCAAGACCTTGATATGGCTGGAAAGGGAAAAAATGACAGCTACTCACGTATTTGGTTTCACGCCCCAAGGACTTTGAAAATGCGGGATTGTGCTGGAAATGACAAAGCAAAAAATGAAAGAAAAAGAAATCTAATAAAAAGAAAACAGTGCATTTCCACCTATCAATGTGGAACACTTTTATAAATTCAGTCACAACCATAAAAGCAAAAAAGGTGCTTTTATACTTAAGGTACTTAATCATCTTATTTTTTATATCATTATATGTTTATTTTTCTTTGTCTCATGTATTTCTCAAACAAATTGCCCACGGTGGGATAAAGAAAGAGTCTAATTCTGTAAGTCTAAGTTTATATTTAGAGTGTGTTAGGATATTTTCATCTCTAAAGCAAAGATGTATTTGCCTCAGTAAACTTATTTTTTGTCAGCCCTGATTTAGTCCAGTCTGGACAAGCAGCTTCTCTCAACCCACAGAAAACTGACATAAACTGGATGACTCTTTGAACTGATCGTGTTTCCTCTACAAACTTCATGAGCCTGCCTCCTTTGATAAAAAATTAAGAAATGTGTTTTTCTCACTGATGCAAATTTTATAGAATCAAAATTATCTTCAATCTCTCTTACTGCTAATGTTTAAGGACTGAGAATTTGTGTTTCTACAACTGACTGAAGGAGTTCTGGAAGTGTTTGTTTCTTAAAAACTTTTTTTTGTTGCTCAAACTCAAACTTATGGCTAATGCCTCTCCTGTCTGCATCCTGTTAGTCTACTGGCTGACAGCTGTTCAGCAGAAAGGGATTAACACGCTTCAGAAAGGACAGTAAAAGAAAACATGGGATATAACTCCTCCATTCCTTGAAGTAAGCCACTTTTGAACCCTAGACGGCATCTAATGTAGCTTGCCCGAGCTGTAGAGGAAAGCGACAAGACTGCTAATCTGATCCAGCATGAAGTTTTCACAAACACTGATGATTTAGGAGCAAACCCCTTATGTTGCTCCACTGTGTTTTATTTATTCCTATATCAGAGCGGGCCTTTACAGTAAATGACCTGTTGACAAGCTTTCTGGAGATGTGCATTTTAATTTTCAGCAGGATCAACACTCATTGTTAAAGCTGTCATCACCTGGAAATCTAACTTCTTCATCTTTAAAGGTGTGTGTTGGTGTTGGGCGTTAGTTAAAACCGGCCCGACAACCTGGAGTCTGAGAACAGCTGAGTTTTTTCTATGTCGTTCAAACCAGGAAAAGCCCTCATAGCCACGGCCTCCATCAAGCATGGCTTTGGTCCTTGATATTATTCGTACAAAGGTACCTCAAACTGTTGTGAGTTGCAAAAATAAACAAGCAAATGTTTTTAGTTTGCCTCCATGTGTGGACCATATTACAAAGAAGCTGTTAAGTTTATCGTTGATAGCAATGTTCAACTGACTCTCCTTGTAACCACTTATGTCTACATTTTGCATCCGAATGTTTCAGCATTGGGACAATGCCAGGTGAAGATGGCTTTAAAATCAGGGACTCACCTGCAAAGTCACTAAGTGTCGCTGTTTGTGTAGCTTTTTTCCATTGTGAAGGAGAGCAGGAAACTATAGTAAAGAAACTATGGCATCTTTTAATGTTACTAATGCTATCTCTCCATGTAATACTTACAGATTTTAGTCTTGTTTTGTTTTAAACCCCCTCATTTTGTTGCTCTACCATATGGTACTTTATAAACTGCTCTGCATGTTTTCGTTTATCTGAGCAAAGGACATATTGCATGAAGTGCTTCAGTATTGTTATATCTGTACATGAAGGCATACAGACACAAGTCAAATTGTTGTGTGAGAAAATAAAAAGATGGAATGAAAAGGGGGTCAGAATGAGCATTTTATTATTTTTCTCCCTTACAACGTTAAATTATACACTTCAATAACTATGCAGAAATAAGTAGAAATTTGTTGGAATAAGTTTATTTAATTACCCTTAATTTGAGCAGGAAAATAAAACGATCTGCCAATGGAATGAGTATGTCTAGCCATAATTTAAGATAATTAAGTATTATGAACTTGAAATAAGAAGCTGCAGTTGTTTTTTTTTTTCTTATTTTAAATGTAAATTATCTTATTACATTGGCAAAGTGTCTCACTTAACTGCTCAGTTCAAAAGAATATACACTTATTTTAAGAAAAATTGAATTACTTAGATTTCTGTTTTTTGCACTGTAGACAATTGCAGAGGGATTTTACTAAGTTATGACTCCTTCAAATAGAAGGAGAAAATAAACAGCAGATCCAACTTCTCAGACAACCAGAATGTTCTGTTAAAGTTGGCTGAGCTCTATTATCACCTCAGCTCCATCTGAGGCTGTTTGCCTCCATATTACCTGCTTCAATCCAGTAATTAATGCAGTAGAAGCATTGATGTAAAAACAGCCATACTTTCTGAATCCTTTCCACTGGTTTACACTGTGATATATAAACATATAATCCTTATTTTATTGGAAATAAATAAATACTTGATTTATTTTTCATAATATGAACAGCAACTTGTAAAATAAACTCCTAAAGTAATTATATTCACAAAGATATTATTTTACTGGTGACTTGTCCAGAGTGTACCACCCCTCCCACTGGATGTCTGCTGAAGGTAGGCCCCAGCCTCCTCCAACATTACAAGGACAAGGAATGTTATGAATGCATACCTGTATGCATTCATAACTTTTTATTAAGCCTTACAATTCGTAAATCAACTGGTAAAAAATGTGCTTTTGAAGGACTGCATGCTGACCTTTCCATATTCCAGTGATGAGTAGTAATGGTTATTTTTTATGTGAAAATAGACATTTAAAACAAATACCTAATTTAATAAACAGACACGATTTTGCACTGTTTTTTAGTTAATAAATTATTTCCTGGTCTAAATCCAGCAAAAAACTGTTTTAATTTCCTAATCTAATTCCCAAGACTTGAAACTCAACTGCTGGAGTTATTACAACCCATCATTTTCTGAATGAGGATTCAGTAACAAATCTTACCTCAAAATGCTTCTTGGTAGTCGATGACTTTGAGGTCTTCTGGCCACAGGATGTGTTGTAATAATACATTTAAGAAATAATTAGAGTAATTAACTTTCAACACTATGAACCATCATTTGTTGTAAAGAATGACTGAACTCACTGGTGGACCGGTGTTTGCAAGTATCTCATCAATAACTGCATAGAGTTCCTCTGACTTTTGCCGGAGTTCAGCAGGGGAGCACATCTGCAGACAGAACAGAAATATTAACACTTTTGTTGGAAGTATGATGTATGAATGCAATAAAAGATTTTTTTTCAGTCTTACCTCTTCATGGGTGTCTATATCAGATCTGTCCTGGGTGTTGCTATAATTACATTTTTCCTCTACCTCTTCATCTATAGCCTGTGAATACAAAGAAAGTTTCAATCGAAGAATTTTGTTTTCTTACGAAGTGTCAAATCCTTATAAATGGCACCTTTTCCTCCGCCATCATGTCCATATTCTTTACTTAAGATGTTAATGGAATTACGTAGTTGCATAAAAACTCACCATATCTGGTTTCCAAAACTCTGGCTGGACTTCTTCAAATTCATTTCTTAAAATGTGTTTTAAGAAATATATTTCTCCTAAAAGCCTAAAGACTTATCATTTCATAAGGAGAAAAAAATCTTTATAGACATTGACTGTCAACTCTAATTGTGTCAAATTAATAATAAAAGTAGCAGACTGTTTAAA